TCATTTCTGTGCAAATTTTTAAGAAAATTTGATTGTGAATAGTTGTAGTTGAAAGTCATTTGATGCGATTATTTGAATCAAACACTCGTGTAGAAGTACGAATAATTTAACAAGGAATTTAACGTTTTAGTATTTTCAAACGGTGCTGATCAAGCAGAAGTTACCGTGCACGGGCATTTGTGAAGGTGTTTGATTAGGATGAGAATTTCGAGTCAAAGTTGACAAATAATGTAAATTTTTCGAAGTGTTCAAGGGGGTAATCTGATTCTGTGTTACATTTGTAATATTTGCTATTTGAATTTTGTATTTCGTCAGTGCTTGTTATTTGTGGTCATATTCTGGAGAGAATATACGAACTTTTTTACCTGTTTCTGTCTTGGCGTTAATCATTCTCATACCCCAAGGATCCTGCCCCGTAAAATTTCTAAGCTCGATTTGAGCATTCAGTCTGACGCCGCAACGATCTACAGACTTAGCGTATGATTGAATATACATACATGCATGCATACATAAATACATTCACAAACAGTTCGCACGAAGAATACAAAAAAGTTGCTGTTCCATAATGCAACATGTAAAAAACAATTATTAAGTAGGCATTAGTAAGTATTAAGCAGGCGGTCCGGTCACTTTCTTGGAGACTTGCTGCTGTCGCATGACAGCAGACTCGTCAGTAATATTTATTTGTTTATCAAATGGAGTTTTTGCCATATCATATGTCAGATGTGAGATGGGTCTGAAATTTGCTTTGAAACTTCTCATGTGTCTGGTAGCTTTGGCTTCCTAGCCAAGTCAATTCGAGGAAGAGATCAAAATCACTCGGCACTTAGTCGGGGCTATTCGCTAGGAGGTCAAACATGTCCCATCTGTCTTAGAAATTGTTTAGTTTTAGCAGCGAGGGTGGGCGTTGTCATGGTTGACAGAGTCATTCTTATTCTTTTGTATGAAAATTTACACCGGCTTAATCTCGAATGAATTTCTGCTGTACTGCTCCCCTCTTCTTGAAGAAAGCGAATAACACTTTGTGTCTCGCACTTGGTGTGAGTGCCTACCGTTCCACCCAACACCACATTCCTACATACTCAGCTCAAATTGGCGATATAACATCAGTAATAGCAGAGATTGTAATGAGAGGTGCACTATCGACCTTTGCACATCCCCTAATCCTCTTACTTGTCTAGGAGTATAACGTCTCGATTGGAGGTTAAAAAAAGACCTACATACACATTTTTATGCAAAAAAATCAGATTCCAACAAAAGAAATTTACTTTGTGGATACAATTTCTAGCAGGAATATATATATTCAATTAAAAATCCATTAAAACATGTCAAACGTATAATTTATTTTCATCTCTTTCACTCTTGTAGTTCCTTCGATATTTCAATTTTTTAAATTTATTTCTCCTTAGCAATAATATATTAGCTGCCTAGTAAAGGTGAAAAGGGTGTGATAGGATCCTGGACACTACCAGTGACGTAGTTAGGGAGGGGCGGGAGGGGGGGCGGTCCGCCCCTGGTGGCACCATTTTAGGAGTGACACCAATTATAATTTTTTTACTTCGAATTATATAATTTTAATTATTCATTAAAAAATTATATTTTTATAATCAAATATGCGTTTGTTAATTAGTTACACTTCGTTTTATATTATTTATTCAAAAATTATATTAAAAATATTTAGTTTTTAATATATTATAAATATCATGAGCCAATATTTTTATTCAATAGTGTATGAACTATTCAGTAATTTATGGGTGATACCATTCGTTTTGCCCCGGGTGATACCCACTGAAGTTCTCTGTGTGCCACGAACTGAGACTTCGCTTCGACCACCTCTACTGCCTCTGAACTCTTCCTCGCTCGCCCTCTCTTCCGCTTACCGTTCCCGTTCTTCCACTCCCTTTCCCACCCCCGACGTCTAGGCGCTTCCGTGCCACCTGGGCTGCGGGAGGGCGTTGGAGTGAGATTTGAGTAATGTGGGGGCTGTCTCAACTCTGTCTCAGACGCTCAGCGTTGTGCTCGTTCCCTCTATGGTGCGATCGCGTGACCGAGGCCCTTTAATCTCGCGCGTTTAATCTGGTCTTCACACTGCCCCTGACGTTTCTTACTGACAAATGAAGGATGTATTGGTCACAGATAAATACGAGACTCTTCTGTTTAAACACACGCTTTCTTCTGGCCGATCCATACTGCGTGCACTTGAATTTAGTGTATTGGGAATATCGATGAAAAGGCGGCGAGAAATTTCAATAATTCAAAAGTTCACTCGACGTATTAAAAGTGATTGAATTGTGTATTTTTGAAAACAAGCTAACAAAACTCTCTTGGGTGGTAGAAATAATCAGAGCCTGATAAGAACGAAAGGTAGATAGAAACACTTTGGGTTACTTTGTAATTATGGGTGCCATCTTGTGATCATTTGCATCTGCGGGTTCGTGCTGTATCATCCCCATCCTGCCCTGTACTCCTAGAGTAGATTACAGTGGCGGCTCGTGTTTAAGGTGCTCGGTTGTACAAACTGCCGATAATTAAAAAATATATTTTAATGTATTAGGAATATACATACTCGTTTTAATAATATTCAATATATTGCAGCAATATCGATATATATGGAATCATTTTGATACCAAAGAGCGCCCAATTGGCGCTTTCACCGGAGTGTGGTGCCCTGCAAGGTATTGTATTATACACGCACGTTTTCCTGAACCCCGGAACCCCTTTGTCCACATTAGTTGAATGATAGCAATGAGCGTTGTAGACAAAATCTGATAACCAGAAATGTTTTCTCCCGTGTTATACAAAATATTTTGTATCATAAAACGAGCTACAAATTTAATACAAAATTCCTTTCATCAAAAATCATTAAAAAAAAAAAAAAAAAAAAAAAAAAACACCACTCCTTTCGCTACTAGCGAAGCGAGGGTTCAAGAAAACGTGCGCGAATAATCCAACGCTCTTGACTCCTGCTTCTATGTCTGCGTTTACTCTTAAGCAACGCGCTACAACACGCCTCAACATTAGGCCTTCGATGCGGTAAACAATGGGTGGAAGATTTGGTCGCCGAGCGCTGCGCGGTGTCCCCAGGGGAAGCCCAATTTCCTGCCTTCCTCGGACACTAGTATATGTAACTTAATTTTTATGAATTTCGCTGTATTGAAAGTACACAAGTTAAGTCAATTATTGACAGTAATGAATACATCATTAATGATGTTTGGAGAATTCATTTTCTTTTGATGTTAGGTTTTCGATTCAAAATGTACATTTGATTATGAGTCCATTGTGTAAATTGGCCCTATTGGAAAGAAGTCCCTTTCTGACTCTTACGATGCGTGCGTATTTTCCTGGTGCGTTACAGCCGCGGTGTAAGAAATGTATCCTACATTGTTGTTACATTTGAGTAACACTCTGCGAGCGATGGTGTGTGTGTGTGTGTGTGTGTGTGTGTGTGTGTGTGTGGAATACCTTTATTACAAGATATATTAGAGTAGTTAAATTTTCGAAATAAAATAATTTTGTGAAAAATGTGTCCAAGCAATAGAACTTTTTGCAAAGTACTGGAGTGTTATGACTATTTTCGATTTATGTTTTGTTTTGTGGGAATTGTTACCGTCAATTATCTCAATGCAGAACTAATACAAAATCTTAAGTGCTCAGTTGAAATAAAAGCCAGAACACGTGCGCGGAAGGTGTATGTATTATGTCCGCACGTGTTCTTGAGCCCTGGAATATTTACCCCGACTCCTTTCCCAACATTAGTTGCATTAAGAATAAATGATTGCAATGAGAGTTGCAGACCAAATCTGGTGACGAGGATTGTTCACTCCAGTGTATTAAGAAGAATTTTGCATGGAAAAATGAACTACAAATTCGACGTTAAAATTCCTTTCATCAAAAATAACCATACTCCCTACTCCTCTCGAATCTAGCGAAGCGAGGGCTCTAGTAAACGTGCGCTAAATTTTGGAGATTACATTTCCGTCATTCGATGGAGGTGCAACCTTCAGTATGTTGGGGCACCAGCCGCCACTACATTATTTGCTTTTCCGCTCATGTAGGGTTTTTCCTCATGAATATTCAACTTGGAAACGTTAACAAATGAAAAATGTTAAATTTTAGATCCTGATGTAGTTTATAAAGAACATAAAATAGGTTATGTTTATTACATTAATGACATAGGCGTAAGTGAATCTATATTGAGACCGATAATGTACCTCTTTTTTTAATTCAAATTATTAATATTATAATTTAATTTACCTGCCCCGTGCATTGTTCTTTCATTTCATTAATATTTAAGGAAATATTTCTATGTGGAAAATGTGTATCATATATGTCTTAGAAAAAGTTATAATCGTAGAATGTGAATTTCCCTCCCAGATGATTTAATCTCTCGAAATAATAACACTGTAATAGTTTTCATGAGCATTTATAAGAATTGGAAATTCGTATGCATCAAAATTTGAAATTGGAGCTTCCTAGCTCTCGGCGTGATTGCACTACTCGAGTTTTTACCTTTTCCGTAATTCCTCTCTTCGGCGCTAATAAAAAAACAAGTACAATAAACAAAAAAAACATAAATAAATTGATATTCGCTTAAACATAATTAGTTTCATTCACAATTTTTACTCGTTTGCAAACATTCATTTATTCTCTGACATACCATAAACGGCCATTTTTATATTCTTTACTGTTCTTCGCTAACTTATATTCCATGTTAAAATGTGCAACAGAAAACTTCGTCATGAAAATGCCTTTTCACTTACCTTTTTGTAGAACCGGTCTGCCTTCTTGACCGACGGAAGATATAATTATTCCATTACCATTCACTTCGTTCAGCCAAAACATCGGACCGCCGTCTTGCGTCCTTCTTGTTCAAATCCTAATTTTCGAAGATAATCTTAAATTCCTGCTCCAGTTGTTGCCTATTAACTTTCGCTACTCCTTCACTAATCGAATTAGTGCGTTTGTAATAATGCTTAAAGTAACACCGCACTTTTAGTAACTTAAAGTAACACGTTTCGTAACACTGCACTTTTAACTGCTCTGCCTGAAACAAATAATGAAATAATAAAAAAATAAGATATAGTAATTATTATTATAGAATAACATTGTAATAATTCCTTAAAACTGCTTATTTTAAAATGTCCTCCTTGTTACACCGTGCAATTCTTTACGCAATTTCAAAAGTTTAAATGAAAGTGGCTATGTGGCATTGAATTTATTGAACAGTCTCTCAAAATTACGTGAAAACTATTCTTTCAAAAAAAGTACATAACATTATTTAAAATCTAATTTTGAAGAACAGATTTCATTCAGAAAATCCTCTATATTTAATATTGAAATTGTAGTGAGCCGCAAAAAAAAAAAAAAATCTTTACATTAACAATTCCCCAAACTTCAGAGGTTGACAGGAAAATCGGACCTGTGCAATTTTTAAGCGTATTTTGAGCAATTGTGAGCCTTTTTTTTAAAAAAATATTGTTTTGATATAGCATTTATTTAATACATAATTATTGTAACGTTTCTCCGTGGTGAATTAAAACCAACACAATATTTAAACAATTACGTTTATTCGTGA